CGCCCGGCCTAGTGGCAGCTCTTTAACAATGTTTTCTTCTCCCTGCATAGTCCCACTTTCCTCCATACTGGGTTGTGGGGTTTTGTTTTTGTTTGATTTATTTGGTTGGTTGGTTGTCGGTTGTTTTGATCCTACCTTTCGCCCGAGTGTTCCTGCAGGGCCTGGCGGCTCCCGCTGTCCGTACGTGCGTAAGTGGGGTCCGGAGAGAAGTGGGCTGGAAGCAGCCGGTGCCTGTGAGTAGGATTTGCTGGCTGTGGCGTCTCTGAAACTGCTGCTTCCTCGGGGACCCCCCACTATCAGATTTTTCACAGAAGAATCTCTTCATCTCCTGGCTGAGAGCATACGCCTGGCTGCCAGTGTGTAGATAGCCAAGTAGGAGGAAAGGGCTGGTTTTAAATATTCTGAATATTTATTAAGTTTATACTTTCAAATTACCCCCTGTGTCAGTCAAGGTCCAAGGGGGTTGCCTATAAATGGATACAGAGAAGTTTGCTGGATCGCCCCAGGCACGGGAAACTTCCCTTTGGGTGCATCGGGCTGATGCCAGCAAGCAGGGGACCATGGCTGGGACTGGCAAGAAGGAAACACGCCGCTGGCGTGCGGGTGGGCCGAGGCTGGGGTGGGCCGAGGCTGGCGCGCGCCTTCAGGAGACTAGCGGGCCGGAAGTGCGGCAGGGTCCGGCAAGTGGAAACTCGTCGCTAGGGTGTCCGTGAGCCACGGCTGAGGGCCAGGCTCACGGGGGGCCAGGACTTCAGCGGCCACCTGCCAGCCAGGGAGGCAGTCACAGGTCTGGGGCCAGGGCTCCCTGAGGGATTTCGGGCTCTGGGTCACAGCTGGGGCGGAGCCCCACTGGATGTCCCCGCACTGTGCCACTGACAACTGGATGGTAGTAAGAAACAGCCACCTGAAGCGTGCCGGAGCCAAGACGAGACGCCCCTTCCTCTGGCACCGAGCAACGCAAAGGAGGAAATCAGAGGGCCCTGCTCCGTTGCCGCGGAGCAGGCGACCGTGTTAGTGGGCGAGGGCTGCTGTAAGAAACAGGCTGGGTGGCTCCAACAACAGAGCCCGATCGTCTTACAGTTCTGGAGGCTGAAGTGCAAAATTAAGGTCTTGGAAGGATAGATTCCTTCTGAGCGCTGTGAGAGAAGGTTCTGTTCCCGGCCCCTCTCCTCAGCTTGTAGATGGCCTTCTCCCTTTGTCTCTTCGTAGCACCTTCCTCCATACGTGGCTCTGTGTCCAATTTCCCTCACACGAGGACACTAGTCATACTGGATTAGGGCCCAGCCTGATGACTGCACTTGAACCTGCTTTCAGGGGCCATCAGGTTGGGTCCCCAGGAGAAGGGGCCTTGCAACAACGAAGCAAGCACAGGCTGTGCGATTCCCCCAGTCCTGCCCCCAAAAGAATTATGGCCATTTACTCAGGTCACTGGACACCGGAGAAAGGGGAACACCCAACTCTTTTGAGGGCCGTTGGGTGCGAGGTCGGAGTTGACAGCCATACCTCCCGAGGCAGCATGGCGGCGGAGCGTGTGGGGCGGGGAGCGCTGGCCGCGGTGTAAACGTGTGGGTAACACGCAAGTGCTCACGTTACACCTGCGCACTCAGCCCGGGCAACACAACAAGTTATAGTCTCTACAAAAAATTTTTTTAAAAAATCAGCTGGGCATGGTGGCAGGCTTTTGTAGTTCCAGCTACTGGGGAGGCTGAGGCAGGAGGATCGCTTGAGCCCAGGAGTTGGAGGCTGCAGTGAGCTGTGATCTCACCACTGCACTCCAGTCTGAGCGACAGAGTGAGAGCTTGTCTCTAATAAAAAGAAAAGAAAGAAAAGAAAAAAACACTGCACGTGCTCTGGGGCTCCATCTGGTGGTCATTTCCTTATTTCTGTACTTGTAGCTCGAATCGACATACTCAGCAATTGGCGTGAGCCCTGACGTCGCTTCTTTGGCCTGTGGGATGCAGGCCATCCCGCATGGTAACGAAGGCCAAACAGAAACCTCTGGAACTGCTGCCTGCCCTTCCCACCTCTATTGGCCAAAATAGCAAATAACTTGCTCTTTTCAGATCAGATGACCAGAAGCAGTTCAGAATCACACGTAGCAGGCAACAACACGTATGTACAGTTTTGCCCCAGGCCTATGTCAACTCTCTGACGTAACACGGTCTGAAGATGTCTGGGCTCCCCGCAGAATGTCACGTCGACGCCGTTAAGCCCGTGCAGCTGGATGAGCCCGAAGGGGCCAGCACGCTGGAGGCCGTTAAGACAGACGTGGTCCAGAGGGTGGGGGATAAACCATCCCCAGCAACAGGACTTTTATGAATCCGGTGGTCAGCGTGTGCCAAAATATGCTCTCCAAAGAATAGTGAAAGACAAATCCTTGCTTCTTGTTGCTCCTACATGAAGCAAAACGCCTGGTGTGCCTCTGGGTTCTGGTAAGAGCACGTTCCACACCGGGCAATACTGCTTAGCTCCTGTACCAGCGGATATAAAATGCTGCTGGTTTTCGGTGGGGTCCAGACTAGGCAAGGGCTGTGCAGCGGACACCAGTGGAGGTGCAAGCAGCCCTGTCACTAGAGGCATTAGTAATCGTGGTGGGAAAAGATGCCGAGTGTGGCTGTGACGACCCCCAAGGGCGAATCACAACGGGAGCTCCTGAGGTTCTGGAGCAAGGCCGTGACACCTGCAGGGAATTCTGTGCCTTTGGGAAAATAATTTCTAGTTCTGGACCCTAGTAGAGATGGAGCACCTGTCGTCCACATTTCCCCACGGAACCCAGTGACCGTGCACTTGGAACTGTCACGTGGAAAGGTCAGCAGCATATCCAGGACCGAGCATGGGCAAGACCAGAGGGCGCAAGCCAGCTGCGAGAGCAGGCTGCCAGATCCCCACTGTCACCCACTGCTCCCCCAACTCACACCTCCAGCATGTGGGGATCCGTTGTGATGAGCTGTTGGAGGAAAAAGCCCAAGTTTCTTTCCTGGATGAGTTGGCTTGGGATATAGATTCAAGCCATGTGGGCTGCAGCCTCACTCCAGTGCAGTCTTGAGTAACAGGGGCAAGGGCAGACTCGGTTTCCAGTCCAACATACAGAGTTTGGAAGTCATCACTCCCATTCTCACAAGAAAAAGCTGAAAAGAAAATCAACAGCTCTTCTTAGATCTATCAGAGAATTGAGGTCACAGGGCAAACCACTGTCCCCAAAAGTGGAGACAGGTGAGTACAGAGAATCAAAGCTTACTGGAGCAGAAGCCCAGATGATTTTTAAGAGCCCATAGACCCACTGCTGGAGCCA